CTACCATCGTGTGGCTCAAAAAGGTACTACAGAAATACTCAAAAGACTCCAGCTGTCTCAATGTAATTTGGCCACTTGTGGGTAATTTAAAAATAAACAGCATAACGGGTTGACTCATGGCGTAATCCGCAAACTATTCGAGAGGATTCGCGGCTGTTTACATTACGCATGCTCACATGGCTTTCATTTGACGAATGCTTGCCAGGTGTCCTGATGTTAGGAGATTGCGCTGAACAATTTGAAGTATTTCATTCAGTGTAGGTTTGATCAAAAAGTAGGAAAACAACTCTACACTGAAATTTTAAAACTCTCTAAAATAAATTCTATGTCCTTCCGATTCATCCATCCATTGACCCGTCCAAGTCAGGTTGGAAAGTGAAGCTATTAAGCAATAAAAAAAAGAACCTTTAATCCACCATAAAAAAAATTACAACAGAGTCCATTGTGCAGTTTACTTTTAAGGAAAACAACACCATGTGAAATTGAAAAAAAAAGTCGTCACTTTGGCTTGTACAGTAATCTTAACCCATATCTTGCCAAATTTCAACATTTGGGCGAATTGTCGTGATCGCAGCAGTTGCTTGTTTCAGCACTGACTGAAATGTACTTTCTGGAATGTTTATTCCAAACAGTTCATCATCTGCCTTTCCTCTCCGGGCATTGGATTTTGTAGCCCACCCTGTAGGCTTGCAGGTACACACGTGCCTGGTTCATCCTGTTGGAAAAACAAAACAAAACAAAACCAAACGCAACGTCACATTATAATTAGTCATGCTAGGATTTAACTATTGATATATTGAAATGATGGTGCTCCATATGCTAATGTACAACATATATACAAACCTGTATTTGGTGCAAAGCTGAATCCCCAAAGGTCCGCAACGGTCAACGTAACTTTCCTTAAAAGCTTTTCTCACCGCCCGAGCCATGCTGACCACGGTGGTGACCACAGGGCATGTCCTACACATCAATGAGAACATCGCACATGACTTTACGAGAACAAAATAGTTTCACATCACACATTAGAATGCATAAGACATTGCATAACACCTTGAATACTTACAGTCTCTCACAGCGCAGGCCCGTAGTGCCCTCGGGACAGGTGCAGGTATTGTGAGGACTACAGGTGGCGCCGTGCCGGCAGGGAGGAACGCACGGGGTGGTCACCGCTGCACATGAGCACGCCAAAAAAAGTCAAGACGTGCAATGTGCAAAACGCCGTGATGGCACAAACACACACTGACCCAATCTACGCATGCGCATTTGGAATCCGTGGTAAGTGATTGGCAACGATTCAACAGCATTACCTGAAATTACCTACTAGGGGGCGCCGACGACGCCCTTCTTCCATGCTGGATTTTTTTAACCATTTCTGCAACTTTGTGATTGATTTTGTGTACTGTATTTTAATTTAGAATCTCAAGTTCACACCAAGTGAACATAAAATTTATTCAGGGGGTTGGGGCCGGGCTGTCACCCCCTTAACTATGATTACCAAGTTACAGTGAAGATCGTGAGCAAGTGGGTTTTGGTTTGGATCACCAGTCATAAAACAATAAAACCCATCTATA